TATACCAGCCATTGTTTAGCTCACAGTCAGACACTCGAGTTTATGTGAGTGAAGTCGCCACAGGCGTCAATGCTCTACATTCTTGCAAGCTACTCAACTTGACATTGTGCAGATTCTTCATTGCAAGTAGGACAGCTGCGCTTAAAGGCGAAGTGACGAAGATGACTTCATCGTCTGTTTTGGTCAACCAGCAGATGGAAAGGTGCGAAAGATTTTAATAAGCGTAATGTTGCATTAAATACCACGATGACTGCTGAATGCTGACCGTTGCATTTAGCTTTGTTCTTTCCCTACATTTTCTATTCATTTGTAGGCGCTGGCTCGTAAAAATCGCTCGGAATTAGGTTGGCCGACGATGGCAGGCGATCTAATGAAGTTCCCTTGATTTCTTTGTGATTTTTTTTTCTTGTTGCTTGCATTTTTATGCGTATGGCACGTGGAACTGTGCTGTAAATGGTTTTACGTATGTATGTGAAAGAAAGTCGTAAATTCGGTTAAAGATTTCTTTATGGGAAATCATATTTAAGCATGCATTTCTACTTTCATTTACTTGATAAGTTTATGGCCCATCCATTAAAATCCTATAAACGAACGGCAGCTGCGCAGTTTAATTGAATTTCAAGTTGATTGAGTCTTTATTGAGTTGAAGAACGTAAAGTAAGGCATGCTCGCACTTTTTTACGTACATATGTATAAGAAAAATTTCGGAAGAGCGTCGGTAAAAATTGTCAAAAACCAGCGGTAATTTATAGCTACTTGTGCTAAAATTGAATGGGCTACAAACCTGTATATTCGAAAAAAATCTAAAAATTCTGAGAAAAATTTTGATGAACATTTGTTGCATTTTTTTAATCTTCTACAAACTTCTTGAAACTTTAAATGTTAATATAATATTTTCACAGAATGCACTGTAGTTTATTTGAAAAATTTCGGAAATTACATAAAAGAAAAATAACCCAGAATAAAGCGAAAAAGTATTGTCCCTATTCAAGTGCATGGGAGTGTAACTGGTAGCATTAGGTAATCTTGTATCCATTTAGATATTAAAAAAACTTTTTAAAACATCATTACGATACATGGCTAAGAATAACTAAATCGTTTATTTTCTTATGAGCTCTATGAGTTCACATCCACTGCAAAGGCTTAATTTAGTTGATAACATAGATGTTTAAGGCGTTTCGAAGGGAGTTGCCTACAAGACATTTTATGATACTAAAATTTTAGAAAACTATATTTTCACACGTATACAATATTTTCTATACACTACTTAAGCAGGAGCTCATCAAAATTCCTCCCCTATTCGGACATTTCGACATCGTCTTAGACGAGGTTCATCAAATCATAAAATTTAATTGCAATAGCACCAACTTGGCATCGAAATGTGCAAAATGTGCACTTGAACGCACTCGCATTTCGCGCATACGAAGGAGGGAAACGTTAATGCGCAAATTAACTGCCGAAGTTACTCCTTTGAATGAATGCCACAGACAAAATCATGTCAAATTTATGACGAAGGCGCTTTGCAAAAACACACATTAGACATTCTTCAGCATATTTTTGTTTTGCCTGCCAAATCGAGGGCTTTGACTCATCCAACAATTCAATGCGATTGGACAATCACTGCAAGGATCCAATGAATTTATGAGTATCTACAAATTTGACAATGTCAATGAGGCAATAAAATTGAATATCCTTTCATTCTTGTCAATATCCTTTCGCTATGCAAACGTAGAATGCCGCAGGCTAAACAGAAGATTAAAGGGTACCAATAGAAGGGTATGACAGTCTTATTACTTTTATGACTATCGCACGTAATTTTCGCAAGATTGCGCTCACAATTTACGATATCATATTTTGTGCTCAATGATTGTTTCTGTCAATAAAATATCAAATGTCACAGCAAGCATTCAATTTCTCACCATCGATGAGCATTCCTACATTATTTATTTATTTTATTTATTTATTTAAAGTAGTCTAACACAACAACCACAGGTTATATTTCAGTGTTAGATACTGAGAATATTACAATATAATACGATATTAAAATGTATAAAATTTGAACTTAACATCTAAAACTTATAAAATTATTCATAAAGAGTAAGATTGAAGAGAATAAAGAAAAAATACAGTAATTTAGCGGTTAGAGTTGGGGTGACTGACGCGAGTTAAATAGTTACAAATTTTCATTTAGTCAGCATAGTGTCTAAGTAATGCTATTTTAAAGTGCAATGTGTCCTTAATAGACCTGAGTTTAAGGGGTAATTTGTTCCATAGGCGAATAGTATAGACGAAAAACTGACGCTCAGATATGACAGAATTGAATTTCAGGTGCAAAAGCTGTTGTAATCGTGACGATTGAGTAATTTGAAGACGATTTTTGAGATGCGGATGCTCCTCTGAGAATAAGATTTTCTGAAGCATTGTAAGGCACTTGAGCTTCAGCATATCGTCGAGTGATACTGAAGTTATCTTGCGAGCCCATTGAGAAATGTGGTCATACCGTTTTTTGCAATATATATACCTGGCGATGTTATTATAAAGCACGTTGAGTTTTTTATTGCATTGACTATCGCTGTTAGCATAGAGTTCGCAACCGTACAACAGCGTTGGTAGCAAGTAAGATTTCGCGATTAACATTCTAGTGGGCATCGGCGTTAGGTGTTGTGTTGACCATAAATACCTTAGCATAGCATATACTCTACCAATTGTGCTATAGACATGATTATCCCACGTTAGTGTTCTGTTAAATAGTACGCCCAGGTTCTTAGCTACATCAACATATGGTATCACAGTTCTGTTCAATGAAACTGTATCATAAACGTTGAGGTCAAAATATTTTTTAAAAATAGCAATACATTGGGATTTGTTTGGATTTAAGACCAAACCATTGTTACTTGCCCACTCGTGAACGAGGTCTAAATCACTATTGAGGTTCTGTATGCATAGGTTCAATGAGTGAAGTGGGCAGCTCAAATACAATTGCACATCATCAGCGTACATTTGAATTTTATTGTGCTTTAATACCTTCGGCAGATCGTTGATGTACAAAACAAACAGTAAGGGGCCGAGAATCGACCCTTGAGGAACTCCTTTAGATATGGAAAGAGAACTTGACATTGCATTGCCTATGTTGACTGCTTGCGATCGACCGAAAAGATATGAGCTAATTAAGTTTACAGCCGAAGATGAGAACTGAAATAAATTCTTTAATTTGAGACACAGTAGTTTGTGATTTACTGTATCAAAAGCTTTGGAGTGGTCAAGAAGAGTAAGCAAGGTTACGCGATTATTGTCCATGTTTATTCTAATGTCATCTGAAACGGTAAGAAGCGAAAGGGTACAGCTTTTTTTATGCCTGAAGCCAGATTGGTAAGCGCTGACCAGGGAATTTTTAGATATAAACGAGTCAATCTGCTGATGCATTATGCGTTCTAAGACTTTAGATAGATATGGGAGAATCGCAATAGGTCTATAGTCACCATTTGATTTCAGAATGGGTATTATTTTGGCTTTTTTCCAGCAGTTGGGGAAGACAGCTGATGTAAGAATGTTATTTATTGCGTAGGTAATATATGGAAGAAGTTTCGGGAGCAAACATTTGAAAAACTTCGGATGAATGTCATCCAAACCAGCGGCGTTGGATTTTATAGACAGTACTGACTGGACAACGTCACACTCATCAACACAATTAAAGCTGAAGTTTGACAGCGACCTATACGGATTACAGTTATAGCGTTCATATGCAATATTTTCAAAAGTATTCGAGGAGTCAAGGAACTGCTTATTTAAATCATTTACATTTACAGAATCAAGGACTTGTGCCTTTTCTTTTCCAATCCCTATTTCGCGAATTCGCTGCCATTTTTGCTTTGACCCAATTGCTGCACTGAATCTTTGGTCGTAATACATAATTTTTTGGGTTTTTATTGCTTTAATTGTCTCTGTTCGAAGAGTTTTAAAGTCGCTGTAAAGGACATCTGTCCTATGGCGCTTCCACTTTCGGTATGCTCGATCTCGTTTTGAAATTAACGTTTTGATATGGCTATTAAACCAAGGACGGCATTTATCCGAAATAGTTTTCGTAACAAGCGGCACAAATTGATTAAAAAGGCTTTTAATATTAGCTTGAATAAAGTCAATTTGGTCATTTACTGAAACCATTGTGTATATGGATGCCCAATTCACAGAGTCGACATACTTCTCAAGGTCTTCATATTGGATATGCGCAAAGTCGCGGTAAGAATAGTACTCTGTTTTGCTTGTCAACTCGAAATCAAAAATGAGGTAAATAAGATCGTGCTTAGAAAAGCTTGAAAGATCGAGTTGATCATATAAAAGTACTTTGTTCTTATTATTTACAAAAAAGACATCAAGTAGCGAGCTATTGGTATTTGTAAAATGAGTGGGAATCGAACAGTTCACGGAAAACAACCCCAAATTCCTCATTGCCAATGCGAAAGTGTCATCGCTGAGTAGATCAGAATTAAAATCACCGGCTATTACGATATTGTTAAAAGACAAGGTAAGTTCTTCCAAATAATCAACAAAGTCAACAAAATTAATGTATTTATTTGGCCTGTAAACACAACCTAAGAGGATTTTATTTGATTTTGTTGTTATTTGTAAGAATAGATACTCGATGGGGTTGCTACCCTCTGATTTACAATGAAGCTTGCATGAAATACTAGATTTTACAAACATGGCAACCCCGCCACCGCGCTCAACTCTATCTGACCTAAATAACACATATCCATTAACAGAAACCGACTCATTATTGTGCCAATAAGAAAACCATGTCTCAGAGACGCATATAATATCAACGCCCGAATGTTCAAAAAGGTACCTGAATTCGTCAATTTTTTTCAACTATGCACATACAAGATGAGGAAGCCTTCAAGCACTTTATGTACATATTTCAGCTTTCGCTTAAAGCACACCCTTCGTTATACCTTCCAATGAATATGTCTACACTTTCTATATATTTCTTATATCCTCTATTTCTTTATTATTTATTATTATTTTATTTCAATATCAGAGTATGTATCATGTGCTTTTATATCTTTACCTTTAGTACAACAAACAAGTCCTTAAAATCTTTACATCCTTAACAAAATAAACAAAAATAAATGCAACGTTTCCTTATATGGTTTTTTATGAAAATCTACGAATATAAAAATATATTTATATACTTATGTATGAAGGTACCTTCCCATTTCGGTTTCGGTCTTCGACTCTAAGCCACTTGCAATTGGTAGACTTACGCCTGGCACTATCACTTAACTTTGTGCATAGCATTTGGTAAAATCTAAATAGCCTTTAGGCCTCTACTTCATAGTCGGCATTGCCACGGCCGCCTGTGTGTGCGTCACATCCGTTTCGCGCCATAGCTGTGTCACGGTCTTAGTTTGGGTGTAGAACTTGATGCCCATTTTGCCGTAGAAGTGATGATCTCCACGGAACGAGCCACGTGTGCCGGTGAACGAGAACATAGGAAGGGGCACAGGGATGGGCACATTAACACCAACTTGGCCCACGTCGATCTCGTTGACGAATTTGCGAGCGGTGGCGCCATTGGTGGTGAAGATGGCAGTGCCGTTGCCGTAGGGATTCGCATTGACCGTTTGAATGGCTTCATCGAGGGTGTCGGCATTCAAGATCACTAGCACGGGACCGAAAATTTCCTCTTTGTAGCACTGCATATCGGGCTTGACGTCGGAGAGAATAGTGGGGCCGATGAAGTAGCCAGCCTCGTAACCAGGTACCTTAACGTTGCGTCCATCCAATATAAGCTTAGCGCCCTCCTTTACACCAGATTCAACGAGGTCGTTAATACGTTTTTTCGATTGCGCGCTTATTACCGGCCCAACATCAGTTCCGGGCACATGTCCAGCGTTCACTTTCAGCTTTTTGGCACGTTCTACCAAATCGGGTATCCATTTCTGTGCTTCGCCAACGAAGACGGCAGTTGAAAGCGCCATACATCTTTGACCCGCAGCACCGAAAGCAGCACCAGCCAATTGGTTCAAGGTGTTCTCTTTGTTTGCATCGGCCATGATCACGCCATGATTCTTGGCGCCCATGTTACTCTGTACACGTTTGCCATTTTTGCCCGCGCGTTCGTAAATGTACTTGCCGGCGGCGTCGGAGCCTACAAAGGACACCGCCTTGATTTCAGGTGCATCGCAGATGAAGTTGACAGCGTCGTGCTGGCCATGGATGACATTAACAACGCCGGGTGGACAGCCAGCTTCGTTGAGCAGCTCCATCAGTAGCATAGTCGAGCCAGGTACACGCTCCGAAGGTTTCAGCAGCATGGTATTGCCGCAGGTGATGGCGACAGGGAACATCCAAAGTGGTATCATCGCGGGAAAGTTGAATGGCGCGATGCCGGCGGTCACACCCAGTGGCAAAACCAGCGAGTAGGTGTCCATGTCGCGTGCTACATTAGACACAGTCTCACCCATGGCGAGCGAGGGAATGCTGCAGGAGTGCTCAACCACCTCTGTTGGGATGTAAAGAGAAACATTTCATTTTTTTTCGCGTGAAACTGTGAAAACTTACGTAAGCCGCGCAATACATCCCCCTCAGCATCAGCCAGTGTCTTGCCCTGTTCCTTGGTGATGTTCTTGGCCAATTCGCCCATATTCTCCTTGATTAGTGCCTGCAATTTGAACATGACCTGCTGGCGCGACAACACAGATTGCTGACTCCACGATTTGAAGGCTTTCTTGTTGGACTCCAAGGCAGCCTGCATCTCAGCTTGTGTGCACTTTGGCACGCGACTGATGACATCGTCGGTGGCGGGATCGTGCAAATCGATCCATTCTTTGGTTTTTGACTCCACGAATTTGCCATCAATGAACATTTTTGTGGTGGCGGGAGCGGAAGAATAGCTGCGCTTAGCCAATAAGCGGCACTGCAGTGAAAAGAGAAAAATGTATTAGAATATCATATTCATTTAGCACTTAGTGGTGGTATTTCGAGGAGACCAAAAAGTGTTCTGGCCATACCATTTTAATTACTTTCTATTTGCATTAGCTTATTTAAATTCGCTTTCTTTTCTACCTACATACATACATAGTTCGCTTATTTTCTCCGTTGTTTAATTTATTAGTTGCATTCTTTATTAAAAGGGCTACGAACTGTTAAACATGCTAAGTAGGTGATTAAAAAGAAACAGTGGAAATCGGAATTGTAATTGATTTGACCTTGCACTGACTATGTTTTAAACAAACGCTATGCATTTGCCTACACTGTAAAGATCAACAAGTCGCTCTAATGTGGATGTATACAGCTCACGGCACTATCGGCGAATAAAATAAAAATGCAGAAAGAGAGCTTCGAGTTTCGGAGAGATTTGAAAAAATATATAGCCGAAAGTTTCTCTGGAAATAAAAAGCAACTGGGTGCATACATATCTATATATCGTCGGTGCTACTGCAAAACGTTCTATGTCACTTATTACCTCTGGTGCTTAATTGATCTGTTATCTGTGTCTGATCGCTTCTGCCAATCGTTCATCTTCATCAGCCAAAGGTAGACAGTTTTGTCATTCGTTTATTAAGGTGTAACGATTTGCAAATGCATTCCGGTGCAAGTAAGGGACCATATAAAAGTGTCAAGGGTACTAACACACATAGATCGTTTTGCAGTATCACCGACGATATATACCTCTGTGTGTACGTATGTTCTAAGAGTAATTTGATGTGAGCGAATTTTTAGTAACTGAGGCAGCTATGTATGTACACATATAAATTAATATAAATAACAATATGTATGTGTATGCATACTAATCAAATGCCTTACAAAAATTTAATTGCAAAACTGCGAAATGTTCTAATACTCAACTGGAACTGACCAATCCCCTTTCTTCGAAAGAAAAGTAATACAACGAAATTGTTTCTTCGTAGAGAAGGGGAAATTTGTTGAAATTTCTAAAATTTTCACATTTTGTGTTAGCAGGTATTTTAAGTTAACAAAATAATAAGCACAATCTCATCGCTTAATTAGATTTATTTACTGCAATCATAGTACGTATGAGTGTGCAGGCATTGTTGCAAAAGTTTATCAAAGTTCTCTTATGTATGTAAGTACGTTTATATGCAAATGCATATGTATGTATATTGTATTTACTCTTTCTTTAATAGAATGTATAAGTACATATGTATATACATACAAATACATACAGTATCGGTCATATCTATAGCACCTCCATTTCAAAGTGATTTTATTTACCAGTAGGGTGATTAACTCGGTTTCCACCGGTTTTTTTGCGCTTTTTTTGAAATATTGATTTTTCAAATAAATATCGAATGAACCGGATTTTTTACCAAACAAACCAGTTTTTTTCATTTCACACAAATCTCGACCTCTAAATAAAATTTTTGGGTTTTTAGAAGTTTTCAAGGCTTTTTCCAGTTTAAGGGAGACCCCTAAATTGAGAGGTATACACTTTTACTCCAGCACCGAAGAAGTACTCTCGGAGGTTTACCTTTTTTGATGTTGCTGGGGATAGGAATTGAACCATGGACCTCCCGAGTAGCAGTAGGCACATCTAAGCTGCCGGCTACTTCGGCAAGAGCACTTCTTAATTCCGAAAAAAGTCACATAAAAGGCAATAAAGTCTTAACAAACAAGTTAAAATAACACCAATCGCGAATTTTTCACTGATTTTTAATTGTTTTACTTTTGATCTAAAAAAATTTGAGCTTATTTTGCTTTGCTCTTTTCTAAATAAAAGCTACCTTTATAAATAATAATGTTAATAGTTTTATTGTAATTTTTGGTCATGACTTCATACCTATCATTTATTATTTGAATATTTTTCGTCAGATGGAAATTAAACCCAGTAATCCCAATAATAGCAAAATTCAGTGTTAAATTTGAACTACATTTCTAACAATGATTCAAACAATTTTGATTTCGAATTGAAAAAGATTCTGTTTTAAAAAGTCCTGTTGCTTTTTTCCTAGGTAGTTGAATTTTATTTTTACTAACAAAAAAATATTTGACTTACACGTGCCGGTGGAGATAGCGTTAAAAATTTATTATTTTATGTACATATCGTCGTTTAAAGTAAAAAACCGCGTAACAAGAAAACGCAAAACCTTGTATGTGAAGTTGCCCAAATTTTAAAGGAGAGAGATTAACTTGCTTAATTACGATTCTCTCTTTTAACCCTAAAAATATGTTCACATATCAATATTATCACAATGAAAGCTCGATTTTTAATCACTCCGTTTACACAGGCAAATCTCAGATTATTAGCCGTCAAACTTGTTGTGCTTGTTATTCTCACATCTCAAGGAAAAGTTATGTTTCTTCTCTGTGCCACCGTGATCACGTTTTTATGCTATAATAAGCAATATAAATATATTTTAACTTAACATTTTATTAAAAATACCTTTACAAACCTCTTTTCCTTGCTAGCGTACATTTTTGTTTACTTTTACATTTGGCATTTCTTCTCTTTTTTGCAAAAACAATCGATAAAACTAGGATGGACACCGAAAAGTTATCGGTTTAATCTGAGATTATTTTATAATTACAGATTAACAAGGGACGAATTTTATATGGTTAATCTCTTGTTATAATTACAGATTAGGGTGTTAAGCTCGAAAATGAGGATAATCTACTTATATGTGAACCTAGTATAATTATATCTTCTTATATCTTAGTATCGATATTTTAGTATGAATGGATAAGAGCTTGGAACGTCCGGTGAGCAAATATGTTTTTTGGTAGCAAATGTAAGTTACGAGGTTTTGCAGCACCACGTTACGCGATTTTGTACTTTAAACGACGATGTGTATGTGTTTATGTACTACTTAAATAAAAACTTGAATGTTAGTAAATGTGTGCCGAAACCATAAAATGCATATATGTATGTATGTATACATACATACTCATGGATAAAAAATAGATGTGCGGAATTTTGACCAGTTTTGGTGTTTTTTTAATTTAGTTTTGTTAATTTTTTATAAAAGTTTAGTTTATGATATATTAGACACTATATAAATCTATACTTCAAACTTTGTAAAAAATACATATAAAACTCACAAAAATTACAAATTTCAACGAAAACTTCAAACTCTTTAATCAGAATTTTCAGAAAAAATTTTGTATGCAATTTTATACCCCATAGAATTTTAAATAAATAATTCAAAAATATAATGGGCCTATTCATAAAAAATAAAGTAGCTTTATAAAAGGTTTATAAGTTGAAAAATGTATGAAAACGTCAATTTATAAAGCTCTATAAACCTACTTTATTTTTTATGAATAAGGCCATAAGACTTCATCAAACTTTTAAATTATTACCAAAATTTCAAACTTTTTAACAAGAATTTTTAGAAACATTTTCTTGTGCAGTTTTATAAAAAATTAAATTTTAAACAAACAATTAAAAAATAAAAAAAAATCATACAATTTAACAAACTTTCACTAAAATTTCAAACCTTTTAATACGAATTTTTAGACAAAAAATGTGCAAAACTAGCACATTAAATTTTAGTAAAATAAAATGCATGTTTAAAGAGGCTGAGAGTTCGCATTGATTTTTTATACTTTTTTCTTTTGCTGGCGGTTCTATGCATTTTCTTCCACATGAAGTATGCTCGTAATATTTTTTTTTTAATTAAAAAGTTTTTTAATTTTTTGTGCAAGGTTTTGCTATATAACGAGCTAGACTTTTAATTAATTAAAACTCGTAATTTTTTGATTTAAAAAGATTTTTTTTTTAATTTTTTGTACAAAGGTTCATTATATAAGCTAGAATTTTAATTACTTAATAATATTAAATAAATAAAAGAAAAATAGCTAAAACTGGTCAAAATTTCGCATACCTATTTCTTTGTACTTGAGTGTATGTTGTTTACAAATACACTTGTAAATATGTACTTGTGTTCCGGCATTGTTGACGATAAACAACAATTTAATTATATACATACATATGTATGTATGTATGTATATAGATACATACTTATGCGAATTCGTGTATGGCTCCATCTATTAATGTATGCAGTTTTGTTCTTGTTTGAGTACTAGCGGGCACGCGTGCTTTAAAAACAAGAAATAACAGAAAAAACCATATCAAAAATTTTTCCATACCACGAACCACGGATCTGCCTTCTACTAAGTTGCGTAACAAAATAATAATAAAAATTCTTTTGTCGCACGCGGCTTTTGAGAAAAACAAAAGCAAATACAAATTGAGAACTGCTACGATATCAATTACTATTTATGTACATACTTGATTGCAAACGCTCATTTACATGGATGCAACTGCACTCTCACCCCTGCCGTTACAATTCACAAAATTATCTCACCTCAGCGCCAATTAAGCGAACTAAAGACATTTTGCCAACAATTGTCCACGTCACAGCGAAATAGTTAAGAAAAAATATAATCAAAATCGCTTTCTCGCAAGCACAGTCGAAAAGAGAATGAACCAGACCAGCCGGTGGCTCCACTAAAACTGAAATGTCTTTCGACTGCCAGGCACTTGCAAAGTTAATCATGATTTTTCCAAATCGTCAATAGTGCCAGCTGAGCGGACAATCTCGAGCAGGTTGTCTCTATTCCAATAGGGGGGCCAATTCGGCGCTCTAGAGCGTTTACTTAGAGAGCCATCATTTATAGATATTTGTTTATGAGCGCATACAAACGAACGGCACTGGAACAATGGGCCTTATGCATAAAAAGTGAGCTTAAGCTCAGACTCAATTTTTGCACTGAAAGGGTGAGCTCAAGCTCAAGAATTTGTACTGAAAAACGAGTCGGAGCTTAAGCTCACTTTTTATGCATGAGGCCCAATATCGTACATTATAGAAGAGGGTATTAAGCGTGCTGGAATGTAGAGTAAACATGAAATAAAACTTTGAAGTAAACTCAATGTTGCAAACATTAAAAACCAAAAACCTACAAGTTCATTTCTTTAAACGGTGTTTATCTGCAATGACCAGTATCACGATTCAAATCCATAAATTTTAGCTTAGCGACTATTTAGCAAATGAGCAAAATTGGATAAATGAAAGGAGCTCACTGCTTTGGGGGCCTGTTCGTTCCAGACGAGAGAGAGAATCGAAAGTTACGTTTTATGTTTTTTCATTTCTCAAACTTAATTGAAATTTTAATGATAATTGTCTGCTTAGGTTGATGCAATTTAAAAAAAAAAAAAAACATTCTATTAAATAATTCTGATTTCTATCTTATTTCATCGTACTCAGAAACCATGAAAACTTATTTTGACCTCTTTTATTACGCTTTTCTCCATTTTTATGACAGTTTTTTACTTGTGACAATTGGAGGTTTATGGCCATAAATAAGGATAATTGGCATGCGTTCCTATTTTAATACCTAATTTAATTTTACTATTAAAATATTATGCATCATCGTAGTTACCACCCAGTTTGTTTCATATCGTTCCGTTCCGCGCTAGCTAGCACCCCAAGTACTCTCCTTACTGCTGTTACACCGTTAAATCGCAAGCAAGGATAATGCCAAAATTGCCCGGTTAAACCACAAAAGCACTGATGACAATACAGCTGCCTCAACGCCAAGCGGAAAGCGCTCGCACTCGCAATAAGTTGCTCTCGCTTCACTTCAAGTGAGCAAGGAATACGTCCACAGGTCCTTTTTATTGATTTTTCGCTGCCAAGTGGAAAAGTCAAACTTGGAGTATTTGTCAAATACTCAACTTAAGTGGCTGACAGTGAATGCTTATTGACGAGTACACACAAAATTAACATATTTGACACGAATTGCTGTTTTGCGAAAAAGTGTTGGTGTTACGGCATATCTACAACAAGAAGAGTTAATTTGAGAATAAATCTTGGCAGAAAATATTAAAAAAAATATATATATATAACTCGACCAGTGTCTTTGTGCTTTGTGTCTCTGCAATTAAGAATCATTGTATTTGTGTGCAGAGCCAGCAATGCAAAAACAGCCGAAGTGAAAAATTCAATCAAAAAAAGGAAACGTCCTTCGACTTTGACTCCATTTTGAAAACAATTTGTGTTTAAATAGAAAGTGTCTGGGAAAAAAGTGTATAACTGAAAATTGCCACATTCTGTGCAAGGAACAGAAAACCATACAATCCCGCCGTCCTCCTCCCCCTTCAAACTGCGGAGCTAAATAAAAAGTAGGAAACCAAGACAATTAAGTGTTTCAGTGCTCCAACCTACCCCACGCGACGACTGGCGTCTAACCACAACGGCAGCCTACTTACTCTCCCTCCGTGTTGGCAATTAATTACAGCTATCGTGCAAGCCAGCCGCTTGTTGTTGTGCTCCTTTTCCACTTAGTTTCCTGATGTGCCACAAGTATATTGTTTAATCAATAACGAATAGAGCGATTTGCGAGCACCACCGCCACCATCACCGCGACCCCCAGTTCCAACACATCCATATCCGCGTTGCATTTGTGTGCGAGTGTGTGTTGAGAATATAATATTGCTAAGCCGTCGCGCACCCTCGCAATGCAAAGGCAGTTGCAAACTATTTAGACGACCGATAGTTTAGCGTACGTTTGGTGAGCCCCTGCTAACCAGCCCTCGACGCCACCATTCGCGTCGCAAAAATGTACAAGACGGTGCGGCATGGCGAAAACAGCCTACAGTATACGATACTGCCACAGAACGATGACTTTCGCATTGAGGGCAAGCTATCGAGCGCAGGCAACAATTGCAGCAGCGCTGCTGGCCGCAAAGGCAAGGCGCGGCGCCCCAGACGACGCTCATTCTTCGCTTACTTGGGCTTGATTTTCATCTGCACCGTTATTATAGGTGCTATATTGGTGCCGTTCCTAGTGTCGGCCGAATGCTTGCCCAATCCCACTGAGTGGTTTCTGAAGACGAAGGCAGCACTATCACATGGCGGCGGCATAAATGGACTACACAGGAACGTTGGCGGACCGAGAGAAGCTTTGCGTAGGACGGGCGAAAATGGTGGCGGCCACCACCTACCGCAACACAACAGCGCCGCGAGCATTGGTCAGAAAGTGGAAATTATCAATAGCGACGGCGTAGAGAAAATCATTTTGCGCGTCAATAAAACGCAAGCGGAGCCGAAATTAAATGATACCAAGGACAGGCCAGTTGGATATGTGTCGGATAAGGAGGAGCAGCCGCCAACAGAGGAAACCAATGCAGCTGCTGCGGATAAAAGAATGGATGGAAGAACAGAACCACAAAAGGATATTGTCACAGTGGGAAAGGATGACGCGATTGCGATCACAACCACAATGCCGGCCCCAAATATCGGTGCTGGAGATGGGCTTGGCCTGCCAAATAAGGCAGAGCCACCACTGAAAGCGAATAATTTTGTTTCGGAAGTGCGTTTCGATTCAGGCAGCATGCAGTCATTGCCTGGTGTTCCGCCCACCATCGTGGTAACCACCACGATGCACACACAGCCTGCTCAAAATGGTAACCAATTTAATGGCAACAATAATGTGGGCAACAATGGCGTACCAAGTCGTCCGTTACAAAATGGCCCCGCACCCGCAATACGTCCAACTACGTCCTTTTCGACCACCAGCATTTATTCGCCACATGCACCCGCTGCAGCTTCTGCACCAGCTGCAGCTACATTTAATGTCAACACGATTTCAAATCAAAACGCCAGCGCTGTAGTCTTTCCCACCATTACGACACGCATCATGCAATTGCCGCTGCTCAAGTCTACGGCTAAGAAGCCCATCATACCGCCGGTGCTGGCGCGCCCCAATTCGGAAGCTATACCGCCCAGGCAGTCCGATAACAGTGGCGCAGATGCGAATGAGCCGCTAAAAGTGAATGCCGCAGATGTTGTGGAGACTAAAGACGCTGACTGGATACAATCGCATTGGCCTTACATTGATCCGTCGACCTACTTTCAGTGGACCGTAAGCACGACAAGACATTTAATTTTTGTTATTTTTTTTATAAAATATGGTTCATGCTTTAACCAAGACAATATAAATCAAAATTTCAAACTTTATACAGAGCTTAGAGAAATGTTCATCAAAAATGTACAAAAAGCCGTTAGTAAAAAAAAAAAATAAAATCAACGGGATTTTTTAGCAGCTTACCTAAAACTTGCACTTTATACTAAAATTTAACAGGCTATAAAACAGCATGCCCTAAAAGTTCAGATTAAAGAGCTCAAAATTTTTTTAAAGCACGAACCATATTTTTACAAAAAAAAAAAAAAAAAAAACGCTTAACTGTAAAGACCTGTACTCAGTTTTTCTTCCCACTGTATATGTATCACGCAGACGAGTCAGGTTTCGCGTACAATAAAATCTCGGTGAAAAGAATTAACAAGTGCGGGTATTGATAATTGCTAGCTGTAGTGGGTAAATTATTAATTTTATTAGGAACGAAGGAAGATCGGGAGGCAGATCACTATCTTTAAACAAATTTCTTGCTATCTCGAGTTGTTTATTTTTGATATATTTAGACGCCACTACCCATATAAATGCCCCTTTCCACTATAAAATTATTTGGCACTTCTAATCGAATGCACGGGAATATACTAGCCTTTTAACCAACCTTTTCTTCTAATATAGCACCATGCGACAAAAACCAAAAATTTTAAAACACACGAAAAAGTCCATATATTCACAAAACTAGGAGCCAAATATAGTATAACTGCGTTTTTAATTTTTCTCTCTGGCGTCAGAATTTTTTTTTTTGAGGACTTTGAAATTTCCAGGATATGATTGAATAAAAGAATTATTTAAAAGATTTGGTGCATTGTAGAGTAACAATATGGGTATCAGTTAAAATAAAAAATTCTGTAGAATTAAAAAAAAAATTATAATAATTTTTTGTTGTACCAGGACGAATAAATGTTGAAAATGTCCTTTTAAAACTTTATACTTGAATATCCTTGGAAATTTCCAATATTTATTTTTGAAAAAAATATATGTCAAGGACTAATATGAAAACTACTACATCCTCGTCCTTCTAACTTTATTAGTTTTAGGTAAAAAAATTTGCACTTCTCTTTATAAGTTATTTATAGTTACAATATGCATGAATGAAGATACTGGAATCGTCATTTTGGAACCATGTATGCGCTCTAAAAAAAAACAAATCGAGTATGCAGTTTTGTAGCCCATTAAATTTTAGACTAATGAAGTGCAAGTTTCAACCAGCTAAAAAATTGCATATATTTTTGAGATTTTTTTTTTTGGTGACGGATTTTCGCACTTGTTCCCAGAAAGCTGGAATTTCTTATGAAATAAAATGCAGGAGATCGCTAGCAACAAAATTTCAAAAAGTCAACGTCAGTTTTTATAAATTTCACTTGTTCTATAAAAAAAACCGCAAAAGCAGTCTCAAAAATAAATCACAAAAATCAACACGATTTTTTTAACCGGTCGAAACTTGCACTTCTTAAAGCAAAAAAAAGTTATAAAATTTTGATGGATTTTTTTTTTAATTTTTGTGAACTTTATATAAAGCGTGAAACTTTGATTTATATAGTTTATATTAAGAATGAAGCATATTTTCATAAAAAATTAAAGCAAAAAATGTTTCAATTTTACAAAATTCTGAATAAAAAGTTAAAAATTTTGACGAAAATTTTTTGCATTTGTTGTGAATTTTATATAAAGTGTTAAACTTTGATTTATATGGTTTATATTATAGATTGAACTATATTTTCCTAAATAATAAAGTAATTGTTCCTGAAAGTAATTGTTATAATTATATTAGAATAAGGTGTACACTTTCATTTGCCGCCTAGTGTATGACCTTAGTTAGCTGTTATTAAGGTGAATTATTAATTATAACTAACATAACCCTATAAGTATACATACATACATACGTATGTTAACCTAACTGTTAAATCGTAATTTGCAATTCTTAACATTAATTAATACATTTTTTTTTCAACATCTTTCCACCCGCTGCTCTACTATAAAGGGGTACAAGGAGGACAGCGTTTTATTGCCTGCATTACTGGGTTTCGCCTTAACTGGCATGATTCTAATAATTGCGGTCTGCTTGGTGGCACGCAACAAACGCGCCATCGTCTCCTCGGTGCGCAAGCGGAATCGCAATGTAAGTAAAGTAAAGCTCGCCACCTGTAAAGAAATTAAGAATTTTACTTTTTCTTGCTTGCGAATTAATTTTTTATTTATTTTTTTTTTTATTAATTTTCTGTTTTTCTTTCGATTTTAGGATGTCGAAGAGGCC